TGGAAAGTTTCATTGAGTTAATTAAATAATTCCCTTTGAGGGCAATTAAAAGAGTGAAAACAGCATTAAGAACAACTCATAATGTACTTTGTATTTAGAATTTAGTTTAGCACTGCAGTCAACATAATATTAAAAACGTTGATGTAGAATCAAATTGTCTACATTAATGTGTTTTAGTATGTTTATACACATTTAATAATTCCATATTTTTTCTATCAAACACTGGCTTCATTCACTTATTGGACATGTAAAACACACCACTATGAAAAACAAAACAAATAAAGAAATCTCACTAAACTATGGACATTATTGTCACAAAAGTATCACATATGCATTATAAGCAGAAGATTTTTTTTTCATATACATATTCTTGACCCGTTGTAAGTCAGCATGATAAACATGACCCAAATGTTAACACTAACTCCCCTGGTCATTGTGGTTATTAAAAATCTAACAGCCTGTGACTGCTGCTTTGCTCTTCTTTTCTAATTATCACCTTGTGAGATGTGTTTCATTACCTAGATTTCATCTGATAAACCACTGAATTCTGGCCAAAGGAGAATTTGTTGGTCCATGACAACACTCTCAACATAAGATTAAAGAATATGTGGGGCCAAAACATCTTTAGATCTTAATGACATCAGGCGTTGACAAGTTAAATTAAAAGAGAAATATTAAATTATTTTAACTATAGTTTAAATTTAGTTTAGTATGTTGCAGCAAATGTAATGCAATTATTTTAATTAAAAGCTTACTGCAAAATCATAATGAAATACAAAATGAATTGACACAATTATTCCAGATTGTAAAGTAATCTTGCTGTGCTTTAGAACTTTGATTATTTTTTCAACTTATTAACCTGCTTAATGTTTGTATTAAAGCAAAACTGCTAGTGGCAAAAAATTAAAAATTAGAGTGATAATGCCACAACAATGAAAAGCAGTTAGTATTACTTCATTAAGTAGAAACACATCCATTTGCACAACTGAACAGCTTCATTCCTTTTGTCTAAAAAAAAAAGACAACTTACAAATTCTCACTTTCTCTGGATTTACAATTTACAGTAAAACATAACTTGCTTTTTTCTGCAGATCTACTGAGGAAATTTCTTTTCAGTCATTCATTTTCCTTCGGTTTAGTCCTTTTATTCATCAGGGGTCACCACAGTGGAATGAACCGCCAAATTATCCAGCATACGTTTTACACAGCAAATGCCCTTCCAGCTGCAACCCAGCATTGGGAAACACCCATACATACCCACTCATTCACACTCATACATCCGGACAATTTAGTTTATTCAATTTACCTCTAGTGCATGTCTTTGGACTGTGGGGGAAACCAGAGCACCCAGAGAAAACCAATGCGAACACGGGGAGAACATGCAAACTCCACACAGAAACGCCAACTAACCCTGCCAGGACTCAAAAAAGTGACCTTCTTTTTGTGGGGCGACAATGCTAACTATTGAGTCATCGTGTTGCCCTAAATTTGTTTTTAAAAATTAAATAGCATTTAGGTATTTTGCTGTGGTTGCATTAAATAGCAGCAGCTCGTAATGTTTTTACTTGTATTTGTTCATTTTTTACACTAAATATATAATGTTTTATCTTCAGATTTAAGACTTAAGAAACCAATTTTGGTGAAAACACCTTGATTGTCACCACCAATAAATGGAAGTCCAAAATAATTGTCATTAATGGATTTTCTGAACAAAACTAAACAGCTGTATGTGACTATTCTTATTTGAAGTTTGGAATCACAGAATAAACCATAAATGTGCTCACATAAACACATAAGCACACACACACACACACACACACACACACACACACACACACACACACACACACACACACACACACACACACACACACACACACACACACACACACACATACAGTTGAAGTCAGAATTATTACCCCACCCCTCTTGAATTATTAGCTCCTCTGTTTATTTTTCCCCCCAATTTCTGTTTAACAGAGAGAAGATTTTTTCAACACATTTCTAAACATTATAGTTTGAATAACTCATTTCTAATAACTGATTGATTTTATCTTACACATACAGCTTAAAGTGACATTTAAAGGCTTAACTAGGTTAATTAGGTTAACTGTGCAGGTTAGGAAAATTAATCAAGTTATTGTATAACGTTGGTTTGTTCTGTAAAGATTATCGAAAACATATATCTAGCTCAAAGGGGCTAATAATTTTCACCTTAAAATGGTTTCTAAAAAAATAAAAGCTGCTTTTATTCTAGCCAAAATAAAACAAATAAGACTTTCTCCAGAAGAAAAAATATGATCAGATATACTGTGAAAATGTCCTTGCTTTGTTAAACATCATTTGGGAAATATAAAAAAAAAATAAATAAATAAAATTCAAATGGTGGGCTAATCATTCTGACTTCAACTAGATATACTCTACATGGTCTGTTGAATTTCTTGGTTCTGATTGGCTGATAGCTGTGGAATAAAATTGATTAAATCATAGTTAGTTCCAC